ATCTCAGCCCAGCATCCAGACATGCCATGATAGACAAGGGGAGACAAAGGCAGACAAAGCAAAATCACCTCAGCTCAGCATCCAGACTCGTCATGGGAGACAAAGGGAGACAAAGGAAGACAAAGGAAGACAAGGGGAGACAAAGCAACGTCATCTCAGCCCAGCATCCAGACACGCCATGGGATACAAGGGGAAACAAAGGGAGACAGAGCAAAATCATCTCAGCCCAGCACCCAGACATGCCATGGGAGGCAAGAAGAGACAAAGGGAGACAAAGCAAAGTCATCTCAGCCTAGCATCCAGACATGTCATGGGAGACAAGGGGAGACAAAGAGAGAGAAAGGGAGACAAAGCAAACTCATCTCAGCACAGCATCCAGACATGCCATGGGAGACAAGGGGAGACAAGGAGAGACAAAGCAAAGTGATCTCAGCCCAGCATCCAGACACGCCATGGGAGACAAGGGGAAAGAATTGAGAACCCCTCACAGCAAAGCTGTTTGGGTAAAAAATATGAAGTGACAGGGCAGATTTACACATCAAGTTCTGGAGACAATGGCAAAAAAAAACATCTGAAGGCTTCAGCCACAACTACAGTCTGCTTTTTGCTAATCCAATATCATCCAATCTGCTGACATCTCCCTGAATACGTCACAAAAATGATTGAACACACACCAGATCTTCAACGCCTCTCCCACGGTCCTGCTATAAACAGAACCAGGCATGTCTCGTTCTGTGTGCGACATTTGAACGCAATGGAGTGTGAAGTGCCAACACAAATTACGACCTTTCGACTGCGGGCTGCACCTCTCTCATCTCATGCCCCATGGATATTGAAAAAACTGTTTTGAAGAAATCGTTGCAAATGCACGGGAAATGCTAGCGCAAACGATCAGCTCTCAATCCTCTTTACTCTGCACAAGTTCGAATGTCTAGTCTGATCGTTTCATTTCTGCATCATTCGCAACTGTCCCAGCAGTCTTGGACTCCGTGCCACATCGGAGGCACCAGTGAACTGCCCAGATATAGAGAGCTCCTGCTAGTGCTTTGAGAAACTTGAGCAGGACAAAAGGCTGACCAATCCCTCAATCAAGGGGTTCAAAATGTTTGACAGATTCACAATTTAGAGTTTCATGCTCAAATATGCCCAGTACGGTAAGAAGCCACTAGTAGCTCCTGGCATTACTACTAGGAACAAAAAATTGCTACTAACAAGGGCATTGGTACTAGTAACAAGAAGCTACTATATAGTTAAGGAATGTCCTCGTCAAGCCTTCCTCTTCATCCTTCATCTTCCTAGCCATCGGATGAGTCGCTCTCCTCTAAAGCCCGGTGCAAGTTCGTCAAAGGTGGCAATTGATCCACCACGACCTGCAATGGACATCAGGAAAAATCACGCATCGAAGTTCTCACTGTATTGACTTGAGCAACGAATTCATCACATGCTGCTTTGGCTGTTTCTGGATGGTTTGCTTTGGAAGTGCTAGGTGTGACCGGTTTGCGGCGCGTTGGCAGTGCCTCGAACGCAAAACACAACAAAATACAAGTGTATAGTGTATATATATATAAATCTATTAATATCGATCATGCACGTATCAACTACACCAGAGAGCTCAAGGCATGAACAGCGGATCAGGATCCACCAGCCACATCGGCTCAGGGAAGCCAGTGGTGGGCGGGTGCGGCACCCGGCTGAGCACTCACCAGGCGACAACAGAAAGAAAAGCGCAAGCAGCTTCAAGGAAAGCAGCTGGAAATGAAGAGTGAGAAGGATATATATATATATACTCTGAATGATACATCCTGCGTGATCTACCTCCTAAGTGACCCTACACTCACGGCCCTTTGTGTCCTTGGCCTCGTCCAGCTTGAGCCACCGTTTTGGTGGATGGGCATTCGTGTAGCTGATGGATCATGTTCATTCTTGAACATTCACGCTCCCAGAAAATCCACATTTTCTAAAAAAAACTGGCTCACGAATGTGTTTCTTCTGTCCATCAGCTTTGCCTTCCTTCATCCGTTGCAATCGCTCGCGTTTTGTGGCTCTGCTCTTCAGTGTTTCGCTCTCATCGAACAACCTGTAAACCCCCGTTCTCAAGGCTTCCCTCAGAACATCCCACTCATACATTTGGTCAATGAGTCAGCTAACATGGCTTGGCTACAGATCCACCGCAGCGAGATATTTTCTTGAAGGCGTTGTCGAATGAGAAGGCGCTCTAGAGTCGTTCGGTACTCTGAACATTGAGGTGGACTCAGCTTTGCTGCCACGTCGAAAACACTCTCGCAATCTGTCGCGACGCAAGCTTTTGGTGCAGCCTCCAAAATTTCTGTGACATCGGTCCAATTGATTGATGGATTCTTCAACCATTCCCAAACTACCCTGATGTAACTCAACCTGCCCAGCGCTGAACTAAGTGCAATGGCTTCTGAACTTAATGTGGACGTTACTACACGTGGGATTTTCTTGGATGACCGTGCTATTGGACACATCACAGCCTCTTGGTCTTGCACAAGCCTTTGGTCGGTAGAAACGATCAAGGCTCCTTGTCTGGATGGTGACCCTTTGCTTGTGGAAAAGGAAGCGTCGCTAAATCCACAAAAGGTCATCGTGCACTGGGATCGGAACAATGATCAAACTCATTCTATTTGCTTTGGCCTCATATAGTACCCGGTTCGCAATTACTCCAACCTTGGCACTTATGTCTGGCCTGGTATGAACTGATGCGTATTGCATGCTTCCGCACGGTTGTCGGAGCTGTTGTCTTTCTGCTTCATCCACGGGGCTGTCCGGTTTCTTTCCCCTTTCCCTACTTACATGAATGGGGGATATCTTCTCGACGTACTTGTTCTGATCCATTTCTATGGAACTGTCCTCCCTTTGTTTGAAGTGGATTCTGCAGAAGTCAAACTCCTTTTCATAGTACGCTCCAAAACTATATTTCCTTTCAACCTTTGGATGGTTGCCTGGAAGTATGAGTCACCACCTCCTATTCCATCATCCACATGTATCCCTAAAACTCGCCTCACCTTGGGTACCCCATTCTTACCCTTGGTAATCAGGGAGAACACACAACCGTCAAAGGGGCAGGCTACAAAGCCAAGACCTTCAAGGGTCTTCCTAAATGAATTGTACCATAGGAGTGGTGCATCTGCTCTTCCATAGGCTCCTCCAGTTAGACCACATCGGTCTGTTGAACTCATCTGAAGGGCTGACTTGAGCTCAACAGGTGCATGCATTCCTAGCTCACGACCGTCTCCTTTTCCTCTCAAAAATGCGGTGGAGACGTCGAAGTTGATGAGGGGCCAGGAATTTGAACTGACTTGCTGGAGCAGCAGTTGTCTACCATCCTTTGAAAGGGTTGGTGCGTTGGTATCAATCTTTCCAAGTCCTGGATCCTCAAAACCAAAAATTACAAACCTAGCCTTTGCACGGCATTCGGGGGATCCTGGCAGAGGATTCTTCCAGGTCAGTATCCACCGGGACCTCATGATTTGTTCAGGATTGAGGGTCCCTTTTGTAAGTTTCTTTATTACTGTTCCATGGCCCACCCAAGCTTGAACTTCCTTCCGCTGTGCTTCATCAAAAAGCTGCCTTTCCTTTTTACGGTCCAAATCACGATATCGAACCTCAACATGTTGTTTCTTTGGGTTGCTGGCCATGAACACTTCAAAATTTTAACGTTCTCGCATACCTGTTTCGCTCCTTCTACTGGAAGGTCGACAGGATTGGTGAGGAGGATTTCCCATCCCTTATGGTCAGTCCCCAACCTCACATCGTCCCCAAATGCTACTAGTAAGTCATCACATCCGTCCCATCAAGCGGGACTTCCTCATCTACAATTTTTGGGGTGTATCCCTCCTCATTTCCTGTCTCTTCCTGTGGTTCCTCATTAGGTTCACTGGCTTTATGGGAGGGATGTTCTGATTCCGGTTGTTCACCTCCCACGGGTTGTTCACCTCCCACTGAGCCTGTTTGAGGGTCATGGGACACTTCCTCTCTTTCAGGGAGTTCATATTCTTGTAACTCAACATAACGCTCACCCTGGCGTCTCTCATCAAGAACCTTTCCCATACTGTCCCTGGGTAGTCTGTGAGATATTCCCTGAGAGAGGCATTGCGACCCAGACCACCTTACTACCTTCCAGACTTGGGCTGGTCCTCTCCAGCGGCCTCGTTCTAGCCGGTTATTGGCCCGAGCCTTGCGCCAGTAGAGTATCCAGTCCCCAGGCTCAAAACTCAACGTGCCTGGTCGGCTTCGGTGAAGGAGTGCTCGTCGAAAGCGGAATCATTGTCTGCCTGAACAAATGCTTTCCTGGCCAGCTCTCTGGCTCTCTTGTCTCCAGTTGTTGTCGGAACCTAAAGGCGAACCGTCTTCGGCCAAGACATGTGATGTTACTTGTTCATCCGAGACCAATGAGCCTGGCAGGGTACGCGATCTGCTCAGAGAGTTTTTGGTTTGCCTAAGGGCACACTGAAAATCTTCTGCCGTATCTATTGGTCGATCTTGGTCCATGTGGGTTAACATCCTCTTCGCAATTCCACCATGAACTTCACACCTTCCAAACTGCCATGGGCTCTCTCCAGCAGACATCATGATGTGAACTCCTTCACGTTGTGCAAACTCAAGGAGTTTTTCCCCACGATATTCACCAGCCGGATCTAAAAAGAGGGCCTTACATGGACCTGCCCATTGGAACCACAAGTTTTCCAAGATCCTAATCTGTTCCGCAGTCTCCCTTCCTGAAGGTACCCAAGATGATAAAGGGTCCCCTCATCTATTATGTGTGTAAAGAAGAACATGGTTCCCTTCTTATTGGTCCAGTAGGCTCCGTCCATCCCCGCAACATCATTGAACTCCAGGTCTGGGCGGATGTGTCCGGGGTGACTCAGCCGTGGTTTTCCTTGAGATTCCAAACATGTATCGCAACGCATGTCCAAACCCCCTTTAAGAACCTCTTCACTTGCTCCCCGCTCCTTAAGGAAACGACTCATCTTTTCCGGGATGTCCTAGATTACAGTGAAGCCTACGTAGTTCCTTCTGCTCTTCACGGGAAAGTCCTCTAAATTTTGTCCTGAGGTTGGGACATGCGTTGGGAGGTTTTCAGGGTTGAGCTCTTCGGCCATCAGCAAATCTGTACTTGCTGATTCTGCGAATCCTGGAATTGCTTCAGGATCCTCATGTACTGGCATGGGTACATCTTTGCTATCATTTGGAACTCTTGGCAGGGATGAGTTGGTGGCTTGACTCTGAGGGGGTATCCAAAGAGTGTTAGGGAAATCTTGGCTGGCTTTGCTCTAGCTATCCTTCCCAGCTTAGTCATATTAGCCCATTCCTGACACGGGCCTAAGTCCTCCTATCACTGTCTTCCTGAGTGGGTACTTGTTCCCCTCAAGGTCTACTCCACCTACTGGGTATCTATCCGTTCCCCTAAATGAGATGATCAAGTGAACCTCCATGTCATGAACAATCTTCTGAACCATGTTGACAAGGGGTTCTTGCCCTCTTCGAAAGTATCCATTGCCTACTCTAGGGGTCCGGGTGCTGCCCTGCCACTTGGCCTAAACCTTCTTTACTTTACTAGACAACGCTCGGCGATGTTTCACTCACGTGCACAGCACATATCATTTTCTTCCAACGCTCGCTCCACTCAAAAAACCAACGGCGGCCTGGCAAGGAAAGCCGGTGAAGTGATTGTTCTGGGCGCTTGCGAAAGAGATTGGTGCGCTTTGCAAAGGCAAAGTGCTTGTGCTTGGCCATTATTTCTCCCACTATGAAGCCTTGACGGTAGTTTATCTTATCTCCAGGGTTTGTATTTGTTGTTGTAGCAAAGCAAGGTTTGCGCTGGAAACCCTGAACCGTGACGGAAACGTATCCCAAAGTGACAGGACTGGAGCGTTGACCACACGTTTACCGCAGGATTGTTCCCTATGTCATTCCCACAAAACCTAAAAACGACAGCCGTTCGGACTCAAAAGCAGGTGTCCGGAAAAGGTGTTTTTCAGATGAGCTGAGAGGCTTTACAGGACACCTTGCCTTCTTGACTTTCCCCAACAACTTTCAGCCTCAGCCAACGGGTCCACCGGAGCCGCCCCACAGGGACTCGAAGCTTGGCGTCCGTCAGGCGTTGATGTTTGCGGGCGTCTAAAGAGTCTTCAGGACACTTTTTTGAACGCGTCGAAGTGTATGGTTTGGATCATACTTGATCAATGCAATGATGCGCGAGCACATCGGCTTCTATATATATATATATATAGATAGATAGATAAATAGATAGATAGATAGATATAAAAGCAGAGAGATCCTGATAGACCTGCTAGCTTGAGAGTACCCTGACGATCTATAGGCATGGCACTTTGGCTGAACTGCATAGCGCTTTGAAAAGCTCTCTTGCCTTGCGCGTCAGTGATACAAGGTCATGCCATCACACCTTTCTGCCCAGGCCTCACACGCTCCCCAGTAGAATTCTATTTCAGGTCTCCCCCTGCAACCGCACAGCGACACAGGCCGTGGCAAGGGTCCACCCACCTGCCCCGCCAGGGCTTGAAGACAGGTGTCCGGAAAAGGCTGTTTTCAGGCAGCTTGCCCGCGCTTTCAGGACACCTTAACTTAAAAACCGCTAAGGCATTGATACGGGCGCGCGACTTTGGCCATATAGTCTGCGAGCCAAGACTGCCAATGCCTCTGCTTGGTGCAGTCAATCAAAAATAATGGAAAGGCTCATGGCTGTGAAAGTCGCTTCCGGACAAGTCGCAGGAAAGCGATGGAGATTTCTGGATGTTTCAAGAAAATGCAAACTTCTGGACCCATGATTTCTGGACGTTTCAAGAAAATGCAAACTCCTAGCAACGATTGTGGCAATATACACCATGTAGCTGGGTCGAATGTGAGCGCAATTGGATTACATGGCCGATAGGTCCCCAGTAGTTGCCAAACCCCTTACCTTTGACGAAGCAGCAAGACTAAAATTGCAAGCAAGCTAAAACTCCCCTATAGAATTTGCCAGGGCGCACATGTCCACAGGAGAACGCTCTGGCGGAAGTCCGCAAGCGACGAGCGCCGGGAACAAAGCCGCGCCCTGGCCTTGCCTGGGTTTGAAGCGGGCCCAACCATACTTTTAATCTATTGCGTGTGCTTTTCGCAGCAACACCCCCCGAAAGCAAACTCACAATCTCTTTTCGGTAAAGTGCCCCTTCGCCAATCGATTTTGGCAGGGGATGCACAAGGAGTACACCTGCATCATGCTGACCGTCAGATAAAAACACAAAACGCCAAGACACTCCATGACTTGCCCACCACCGGGAAGCGTGCCAAGCCAGCGCTAGTGAGCACTCTCACGTCGGCTGGACCGATTGTAGTGCTCGAGCCGCCGGCGCCATGCCCGCAGCACCAAAATTTCCGCGGCATTCTGAGCTAGCAGGTTGGAGGCCATCGCCACTAGGTTGGGGGCCATCGTTAGTAGGTTGGAGGCCATGGTTACTAGGGCGCCATCGCTCTTATAGGTTGGTGCCCGTCCATGGGTCATTTAACCTTGAGTGGTTGTTGTTTTTCTAGAGGTCCGGAAGGAATGTGTTGAAGAGTAAGGCTGGGCGCCATCAGTTTCATCTTTACATCAACACCACCATGAGTCTAAACCAGTCTTGGGCCTCATGATCATAAAATTTATCATCTTCCTGGAAGATGTATCGCCAAGGCTCTCTGTTGAGTGTTTGCCTGGCTGGCCTCACCATTGAGCTCCGACACATCGCATGGCTTGGGCCCTTTGCTTCGAAGGGTGTTTGACATTGGGCTCGCGCGGAGTTGAAACCGTCACCCCTTTCAAAAGTACACAACCTCATGATGTCCCACACATACAAGATCTTAGCCCCTCTGTTTTTTGTTTACTGACCACCAAGCGGATTTTGTCACAGCGGTTTTCACTCCACGCCACCATACCGCCCCCTTGCGGAAACGCGGCCCGCCTCCCAAAAGTAAAAGAGCATGATGCAGACGCGCCATGCCAAAGGCTCATTGGCTTGCAGGGTTCGGCTTGCGCATCAGCATCATGTCTCTGCTAGGTATGAAGGTATGAATGGTTGACAAAAAGTTGCACATCCATTTCTTTTGGTGCAATGAGAACTGCACCCTGAAGAATGAGAGTGATGAGTGTTGGGGTCCGCCGCGGTGGCATTTGGACCTCGAACACTCCAAATACTGATATGTATGTATGTATATATGTAAATATGTATGTCACGTGTGCCGTTTGCCCGCCTCGTATTGTTCAGAGCTTCCCACATGGACATGGTGGGTATTTGTTTTAAGTCAACTGAAAAATGATAACAACTGAGAATCACTCTTTAACAAATAGAGAAACAAATTCAATTTCCAACGTTGATTGAAGTTCCAGCAAATTGGGAATTAAAGCTTAGGGCTGCAGTCTGGTATAGAGCTTCCTCTGCTTGTTTCGTTCTGGGCCATGGGCCATGGGTAGTTCTGGCTGGGGAGCTTCTGGAGGTGTTGCCTTTGGCTTCGTCTCCTTGTGAGCTCGACAGAACATCTTGAAGTTTCGAAGCCATGGCGCCTCTGCCTTTCGGTTGTAGATCTGGTTGACATAGTCCTGGTGGTGATCGTAGACCTGTTGAAACGTCTGTCCGGCCCACTTGCCGAAGCTTCATTTGTCCCCACTCCTGAAGTGTGTTCACTCCTGGTGGTTTCACCAGGAGACCGGTTTCCTGATGTGGCATCTTGGTCATCAGGGAGTGGTCCACTGGGAGGTCCAAGACATTGGTCATGTAGGAGTTGGCCATTGAGCTCTTCGGTGACAACACGCAAGTCTTGACAACTTTTATGCGGCTGCTGAGAAAAGTGAATTCTGTTGTTCACGCATGCTGGACTGCTTCATGTCTTTGATGGCCTCTGGAGTGTGGGCGCTTGATGATTCCGTGTTTATGCTGATTGGTTTCACTTGCCTCTGTTTCGTCGGTTAGGAGAATCTGTTGATCCTTCCATGGTCCATCTAGTAGATCATGAACACTAAGTAGTAGGTGTTTCTTACATTCGATGAGGTAAATTCCAAAATTATCCCCTTTGAACATGAGTCTTCGCCCTTCCACATCAACAACCCCCTTAAGTTTTCAGAAGAGTGAATTAGAAAGTAGAAAGGGTGTGTTTCCAGGAATCACTTCCACCTTGATCCAGCCTCCATTTTTCCATGGCGGGAGCACTGCATATGTGCTCTGAAGGATGCCATCATTGCCAAACTTGAAGGTGACTCTGGAGGAACTTACTTCGGAACCTGCTTTCTAATGGGGCTCTTCAAGCACATCAACAATCTCTCAAGCCTTCTTTCCCCGATAACAGTCCGACTTGCTCCAGTATCTAAAATTGCAATGTGGCTCTCTTCTTCGGCTGGAGGAAGGATTGAACTGGCTGGACCAGGTCTCGCTGCGGGCCGTCCGGGCATGGTCTGGCTACAGCAGTTTTGAAGGTGATTGGTCAACTGATTTGAAAACTCTTCCATGACAAACACTTCAACAACCCTCCCCACGATTATGGCCTAAATTCTTCCAATCCCCTTGAGACTTGAGATCCTATATACCAAATCACAAGGATTAAACACACCATCACTCTCAGTTTGAAACTCCTTTGAATTCTCTCCTGGGAGTTCGTCACGGTCATTGTTCATGGGACTCTGCTCCACGATCATGGTGATCATCTCCGTGGAATTGTTCTGAAATGATGGATGAGTGGGTTTGGACATTCTCGCTTCCAGTGTCCTGGTTGGAGACGGTCCGCCAAGGAGTGCTTCTTGTAGTACGTCGAGCCTTTGTTGGCTTTGAACTTCCCCTTGGACTTTCCTTTTCCCTTTTCCCCTGTTCCAACTGGCCAAAAGCCTGTCTTGAAGGAGCCTTGTCCTTGATCTTCTGCCGTGCCTCTTGGTACGTGATGAAGCACGATGATCTCGCTGCTCTCCTGGCATGTGAGCATGATCTGCTCCTCAAATTCATGGCAGAATTGCGCGCGTTCATCTCTTTCCAAGAGGGCCTGGTAGACCCATTCCTCGTCCCATTCGCCATAGTCACCCTCTTCGGTCATTGGGACCTCCTCCTCGTTTTCGATGTAGTTGCAGTCATAGGTTTTCAACTTCTTCCCGGGCTGGTTCTGTTGGAGCTCATTGAAGGACTTGGCCCCAAGGAGTCTCAGCCCCTTCCGGGCTGTCTCATAGGTGAGGCTCCCATGGTTCTCCATGATGATTTTCTTGCGATCATCCATGGATAGGTTGGACTGTCGGACCAGGATGTAGGCTCGAATGTCCTCGTCACCTTTGCTCCCATGAGGTCCTCGAAGGCATTGTCATGCCTTGTTAAACACCAAGAGCTTGACGCCATCCTTGGTCTTGAGCTTTGCTGGATCCAGGCGGGCCACTTTTTGGAATGCCGTTCCATTCACGAGTAATGCTGCTCGTGGTGCTAGGTGTTCCACTGATTCGACTGGCCAGATGTCCCTGAGAAAGGACAGCTTGCGGCTGTAGACACGCATGTCGGTCACCCCTGGCTCGAAACTTGGAATCTGATTCCATGGAAGGGTGGCGTTCCCATTCGTCCCTCCACTGGATCCCGCTGCTTGCGCCTCCTCTGGCGACATGGCTCTTTCTAGTCGGGGTGATGAAAACTCAACAGAAAAATGGGATGCCCTGCATACCAAAAATCCTAGGATTAGATTCATTGCCCAATGATCTGTCCTATACCTAGGCGGCAGCCCGAAGGCTCCGCTACCAATCTGAATGACACACCCTGTGTGATCTACCTCCTAAGTGATCCTACACTCACGGCCCTTTGTGTCCTTGGCCTCGTCCAGCTTGAGCCACCGTTTTGGTGGATGGGCATTCGTGTAGCTGATGGACCATGTTCATTCTTGAACATTCACAATGTACACATATACAATTGTATGTTGGAATATCACATATTGAGTGTAGTATGTATGAAAATGTTTAAGGATGGAGAGATGTTACCAGAATCCAAGAGGTCATAGCAAAGCCTTGCTCACCATTTTGTGAGTGCTTGTCAAACGTATATAGCTGTTTCTCTTTTGTAGGCGTCAAATTGAGTTGACATTGATTAATACCTAAAGTGGAGAAGCTTGCCGTGTTCAACCTTCATGCCCTCAGAGATGCATGTATGAAAACAAATCTTAGACCTTCAAATGATGCAAAGCAATCAATCTTGGCAGCCGAACCTCATTGATATATCTCCGTAGTCTGAGCAAGTTCTCCCTCCGGAAGGAGGAAAGCTCATATCGAGCTCGACATCTGGCGTGGAGCAAAGCAACTTTGGAGCCAAGTTCAACTGAGACTTGGCTGCACAGCGCAACTAACGCAATCAAGCTTGGAGATCTCAACTCGGCCACAAAAGACAGTGTCATGCAGCATTGTGGTGCCTAATTATCATGTTCTATCCACAGGGTTGCCTTGCCGCTCCAAATTAAAGTAGTAGCAACACAATATCTCTAATTTCAATTCAATTATTTTCACAAAGCAATCTAGTGTGGCAGCAGCACTCAGGATCCATGACGAGGTTGTAGATGGAGAGCCAAACCTCACCAGAGGTGCCCAAAGAAACCGCGGGTGGTCAATGGTCAACTTGCAAAATTCCAAAGTCCACCCTGGCCCTAATAGCGATGGCCTCCAACCTAGTAGCGATGGCCCACCCTAATAGCGATGGCCTCCAACCTACTTACGATTTCTTCCATATTCTTCCTGTGTTTGCTTCATGTTGGCAAAAGTCTAAAGAGCACCACCTGCGAGTGAAGCTTTGGCAGGCGTCCCTCATCATCGGCCTGCCCAAAAAAACAACCCTGAGTGAGGGAGACACGCTTGGGTAGAAGTGCCTCGACCACTTGCCACTTGTGCTCTTCGAACTTCTCGATACGCCCATTGATGCCTTTGCGGTTGGACACTCGAACAAGCCTTAAAAGCTTGGCACATGACTGGCATCTTAACCCATGATCTAGTGAATCTAGTAGCTTCTTGTTCCTAGTAGCGATGGCCTCCAACCTAATAGCGATGGCCTCCACCTAGTAGCATCCTTACTAAAGAATGGTGCAAAGTGCAAACACTCAGGCAAATTGTTGAAAACTATTGTTGCAATTTGCAATGCACAAACCGAAGTCTTGCTGCCCGACGGTTCCGTCGCACCCATGGGGCCTGCAAATGAAGATGGTCATTTATGGTTGGGAAAATGTACTGAATCGAGACTCACAAGAGCGTAGCCCCTGTGCCTTCTCCATGAGAGGAACCAGCAATAGCAGAATCTGGGAAGCAAAGCTGCAGGGCGTTTCTAGAGTCTATTTCTTATCACTGCACTCCAAACCCTTGGGCAATTCTGAGGCCCAAATGGCACTAGCCTTTCTGAGGCTTCCGCATCGTGGGTCTCCAGCATGCGTGTGGTCACTGCCAATGGTATTGCAACCCGGTGGTCCGTGAGGAAGCGGAGGATGGAAATGACACACATGCAAATCTGGCCGAACTGACACACGTGCGAATCCAACTGCAGATCACCAATAAGTAACAATTTGCGATGATCTCCATCTTCCACACTAACAGTATACACTACGATCCTATTTGGGTGGCACTCTGTCTATAGACCGCCAAGACAGGCCAAGATACTGACTTTGTCAACAAACAAGGACGGTCTATTTATGCAGTTCCTTGATTTCTTGCTGCAAATGCTTGGTGTGCACCAAACCTAGAATCCCAAACAATTTGACTTGCTTTGGTTTCAATCACAAATATTGTGCTGGACGAACTTACTCGGAAGAAAGTGACATCGCGAATGTTGGAGAGCAAGTTGCCTGGAACTCGGTTTCGACAAACTGTTCATCCAACATCCTGACATTGTCCCACTCCGTACACTCCTGACAGCTTCTTCACACGTCTACATGGGTGCAGGATAGTGCAGGTTGAGCCAAGCAGCCACGTTTGATGACATGAACTATTCCAGTTTGGACGAAATGAGTATACATATATGAGCGGCGGACAAAACTTCTTCGTGTCCCCAATGCCAAAAGTATTTTGGGTTGGCCCCCTATCAGTTTTGCAAGGTTTTGACCAATTCTGAAATAATTACAGTAAGGTGGCCCTCACTGAAGATTTGTCTGTCTGAAGATTTGTCTGTCGGATGCTCATATTAAAACATGCATATATACAGTATATATATATAGATTCACGAATATATTACAATATATTATATATAATATATATATGACATGTTGTCCGACTTCCGTCCTTTGCTGAGGCCACCTGTCTCACCAGCTCATCGTTTGGTGTAGCCACCAGGTATCTGCCAGCAGTTTGTGCACCGGTGTAGTCATGTAAGAACTATATATTTCAGTGATTCTAGATTCTAGAGAGGTTTTATTGATCATGGTCGGAGTGAGGTTTCACATAGACAAGCCATTTGTCATTGGGACATTTCATCCCACATATAAAATAACACATGAAACATACGTAAAGGCTTACGATAGGTGGTTCTTTTGATCACTCTCGACTCACTCAAAGTGAAGGGACAGAACTGGCCACCTGAAAGCTCATGAGCTTCACGAAGCAAACTAATTGATAGCTTCTTGTTACTATAAGGTGACTTGCTACTAGTAGCTTCTTGTTACTAGTAGCAAGGTGCCTTGCTACTAGTAGCTTCTTGCTACTAGTAGCAATGCCAGGAACTACTAGTAAACAAACAAAGCAACGAATCCCACCTGAGCTTGCGCGCACAAAAATCCACCAGATCGATGAGTGCATCTCCAGCCTGTGGACCCGACCCGGTCTGCATTTTCAATTTCTGGCCTATTCTAGCCAGTTGCGTTGTTCCACCATGATGTGAATGTTTATATACACAGTAGATCGCAATAGCCTGTGCAACAAAGTTGTCATGCAATATGCCAGCAATTTTAGATGGACAATCAGCGTATCCCTGCTGTGAATCCCTTTGCTTTGACATTGCCCTCCAATGAACGGCTTCAAGAACAATACCATTCAATTTGATATACCGTTGTTGGAACCACATGAAATGACAGCAACAAACACCTAGTGCTCTGTGGCGTGCACTGCGTGCACAAACAGTTGACAACAAGAGCACACCAGGCTAGGATAGGTTAGGTAGCAAAAGGAGACCATATACGATTGTCTGCAGCTCCAGCTCTGAAGATCGCTCAGAATACTCCAAATTTCACAGACCTTGCCTCTTCACAGCTGGTTCGATGGTATAAACAAACCTCCAGCAAATTTGCCACTGAGGCCTTATCACAGCAAACAAGCTCTCAAGCGGCTGCCACATGCCTTACCTAGTCTGGACTGTAATTACTGCCTCAAAATCTTGAGGGCCAAGCCTCGTGGTAGACTGGAATGTACGTGCGAAGGGAGCTGAACTTTGCAATTTTGGCCTGTCAGTCAACTGGTGCGAGCCGTTTGCCGATGCCAAAAATGCCACCAAGTGGATCCAACTGTTGCCTTGCCTAAGAAGCTCTAGTAACAAACAAACCTGGTGAAGTGATTGTTCTCTAATTACAAGACAATTTGGACATGTTGTTTCTTCCTACTATATAAGTCTGACAGAATGAAATAAAGGCCTTTCTCAGGCTATGGTCACGCAAAGGATGTAATGTGGCGAACAGCTCCTGCAAGTTATGCTAAGTTGCTTTCCTCACTCGGTAATATATTGTGTCGAGTGCAGGATCTCTCAATGCCGGGAGAGTGCTCTGAATGACTTTGGTCCAAGGTAAGGCCTTCATCAAAGGCCAAATGCGCTCCTTCCACGCCTAAGTTACACAGAGTGACCTGCAAAAGCCTTGCATTCTGCATTCTCATCAATCCCACACTCCAGACACCAGCACTTCCAGCAAACAAGTTGCAAAAAAGAGCATCCCCAAGCAAATAAACTATACTGTATAGATTCATGATTCAAAATCTAGTACCAATTAAAACTAGTACCAATATCTAGTTCGCTGATGTTCAGAGTGTTGTGTCTATTCGCATCCTCGACGTCCCAAAAGCCTCCTGAACAGCTGGGCGCCTCTATCAGTATGAGGTCAAAGATCAATGTAGGCAACTGGCAATCAACGGAAGAATCGGCCATTTCTGTGGTCTATGGATGTCCATGAATCTGTCAACATTTGTTCATTTGTGAAATGGAACAGCTTGCGGACATGTCCAATTTCTATTCAAGTGGCATTGTCAGTTCAATATTTGCCAAATGCCTGGAGATTCCCTGCAACAGCAGGCCTTCTCTTGGGTGTTGAACTGGTCAACCACGTACTCATCCAGGCCCTCTTTGGCCTGCAAGGAAAGAGCAAAGAGCAATCTACTACAACACAAGGGCCGGCTGACCAGATTAGAAGCAAATCAAAAACAGTTTGGCACAGGTGCAACCCCTTCCTTCCATGATGTCAAACGGCTTGCGAAAGACAATAATGTTGCAAACTTGGTATACTTCGATCCTTTGGTGGTCCTCCATTGAAGGTCCTTTGAGTTGTGGTGCATGTCTGCCGAATGGGCAGTTCCAGAAAGCTAATGCAGAAACTTCCGTGCCAAGGTTTTTGGTGTCCTACTTTTTTCTCTCGCCAATGTCCTCCTGCCGTCCCATTCGGCCAAAAAAGGCGCGAATCTCTGTGCCTGGCTGTGCGCAGTCCAGTTCAGCTTCTCAACTCGCTCATGCTGCGTCAGCCATCGCCTCAGGTCACAGAACTCCACACTGCTGCAAGCATCCTGCAAATATCCTTCATCCAGGAGTGTGGGAGTATGCACTAATGGCCTAAAAGCCAGCCGCTTAAGACTAGAGAGATTAGTAAGTAAACGAGCGTAATCCAGTGCAAAACCGCAGTATGTTCAGCAAAGTTTGCCAAACTATGCCAAACTACCAGTGCAATTGCAGTGCAACTGAACTGGCAAACAAAGTGAATGCTCCCAGGTTCATGCAAGAACTCCAGTTTGGCTTTCACCGGTACAATTCCTCGTTCAGACCATCTGAATCATCTGACATATCAGGAGACTGAGGGAAGAAGCTCCGTGCAAGATCCCTTGGGACGCGGCGGGTCACCCACTTGTTCCAACCTGAACTCCTCGGCTCTGCAGAACAAGTCGAATTGGGCTGATGCGCATCACGAGTCTTTAAATGCCGCAGCAAAATGTCGAAGAGTCTGGCGGAGGGGCGGGTTGGGGCTTTCCAGTGCCACAAGCGAGAGGCATCGTTCATGCACCAACAAACACTCATGGCACTTTGAAAGGGCAACGTGCGGCGCGAACAAAAACTAATTACGCTTAATTGAAAAACACTTTATGTATATCTTCCTGGAGACAAGCCGAGATCTTCAGGCGCATACCACTCTACAGAAAGTCGCAGCGAATCTTTCAGCATTAAAGTGTTTTGTTTCTTCGCCCTCTTGCATGTCCTGCAAGTCCTGCACAAAATGCTCGACTTCGAAAGGAGTCAGGTCCTGGCTTCAAATATCCGCCAAGTGTGACCGACACACCGAGTATTCTCTGATCTTTTCTGCCCATCTGAGGTTGCAATGTAATGTAAATCGAACCCGAAAGGACCATGGACCTTGAATCAAACCATATCAAATCTATGTTCAAGAATGGTGCTTGAGGAAGTGCATCATGCAATGCTATGAATACTGTTCCCAAACTTGTCACCAAACTGTCGCCATTCGATTCTCCTCAAAACAGGGCAAATCCTCAAAGTCCCCCGATGCGCCAGGCGCTGTGGGCGCTGTCTCGGGCGCCATCAGGGCAGTGGCTGATGCCTTTGGAGTCCCGAAATCTCTGTATCACTGGCTGTGTAGGTCACAACATGTCCAATTAGGATAGAAAAGTGAGTTCGTCGATTCAGTCTTCGACTTGACCGTCTAAATCAAGACCCTCTAACTTCACAGTGCGGAAATCTCTTCTTGCCTGGACCACATAGCGGGGACATGGACGTCGCTTGGTACTAGTAACAACGTCATCGCTACTAGTAGCACTAGTTACAAGTCTTTTTTGAAGCCCGCTCCCTTGTTAGTAGATTTACTAGTACGAGTAGTAATGCCCTTGTCTCTTCGCTTTGCTTTGTTGGACTTTGGCATTGAGGGCCGGGCTGACTCGGAGGAGAAGCCTATCTTCTCCACAGAGTCCAGTCCATCAAGGCCATCAAGCGTATCCAGGCCATCGAGAGTATCAAGGACTGGCAGGAAGGTGGCACCAAAATGCAAACTGATATTTCTGGGGGGAGGGCATTTGGCAATACAGAGTTGAATTGTGAAGGGCGAGCGGCGAGAACCATAACAAGTGCTGTTTGGTGGAAGTGGGTTCACCTTCCGTTACAAATGCACACAGCTTGAATTTATCAGGTGAAATAGATGGTCTAGCCACTCGCCGAGGCATTCAGAGTGCAGCAGTACAACTGGAAGAGTTCAGCTTCACTGGCCTCCCATTGGAGCTAGCCCGAGCACCAGGTCAAAACTGCAAATAATTTCAGTGGCTGCGTAGCAAACATTGGTTGAACATTTATCCAAATATCGATTGCAAGGTGCTGTGCGATCTTCTCTTCTTCTACGACACAGGCAGCAAGTAATTCCCAAAGCTGAGAGATGCTGCTCGTTGACCGTATCTGAACACCGAACACGAACCACCAAGTGCATGGTTAACTAGGGCTTTGGTACTACTGATGGTTCAAACAAAGTTTTTGGTCGTTCAATCATATAGCTTTATGTGAGATCATGATATGTGGCTTGCTGGAGCCAATAAACGCAATGGCCATAGCGGTGATATAGCGGTGTGAGATCTTCTTCCCTCACGGCGAGCAATCCTGAAAGCGTTCATGTCAAGAAATAGTTTCTCAAGGTTCGAACGAGCTGTGAAGGCTATGATGAAACAAAACAAAGTACAAGCCTCGATCTTCGAGTCCTTGATTCGGACCTGTCATTTCTTTCAATTGGACAAGGCGGCAAGGCGCTTTTTCTAGAGTCTTGTGCCCAAACCCACTAGATGGTGGTGTTCCTCCTTCATTGCTATTTATTGGGAAACCACCTTTGGTGAGGATGCTGTATTCACAGATTAGACTCCCACAAGGCCCTATATTTCCTGTAATGTTTGAGTACAACAATTGTACAACATGGTTTATATAAATCCAAAATTGTTCTTGTTGTGTGATGCTGCTGTGCCTTCATTAGATCAAGCTGTACACGCAGTCTGATTGAGCTACGGGGAAGACATATTTGCCCATTGATTGAAATCCTACCCAAGATTGTTTTAGAGTGTCTAGCTCACGTGGGTCATTTACAGACGTAGTGTAGAACTGGGAAAAGTTGAAAGCCACTCACTGAAGTTGGCAACCCAGGAGTCCACGTACCTGTCATGTATTGGTATGAGCATGTATGTGAGCATCTATGAGACAGATCGGTGCGCTCAGAGCGAAGAACTCTGAAGCATGGCACCAGCTGCTCCAGTTTCTTGATCTTTTCGGTCATGATCCCAACCTAAGACTCTAAGAGATGGACAATGAAAGTTGGTGGGCTTGTCCTGAGAGGGGAGGTCAGTTTACGGGGAAGTCACATGTACTGATGGCTGATGGACCCTGTGCTAGCTCTGCAGTTCGTTCACATCTAATTACGCTCATGTACTGCTTGCACTGAAATCACCCAAAGCAAGAGCTAAAACCCTCGCAGCATTCATGCTACATCAACAACACGATCAGTTCCTGGAACTCCATTTCATGAGATTCAACATTGTATAAGTAGTATTAGACAATCTATTCGAAGTAAAGGCCCCAGCCATCTCACGCAACTCGGCAATGGCCTGTTCCTGCAATGCTCTTTCATTCATAGGTCTCTGGATTCTCTACATATGGAGTAGGGTCACAGCATAGCACTGGTGACCGGTAACATTTATCTGAAGCATCTATCTAGAATCAAAAGCATTCCGCCGCATAGCAATCGGGGGCTGGCCTTGGAAGGCCGGTAGCTAGTGGCATGTAGTAGCTAATGTTTCTAGTACTTAGTGGAACTATGATGACTCAAAGGTAAAAGTTGATGTATTCCGTTTGGTTCCTACCCTTTACATGTCTATTCTTTAGAAGAATAACACATCTGGCTGTCCCGAGGTGCTGCTGCAAATCATGCAACTCGTCTTTAAGAACATCTCACTCACTAATGTACAAGTCACTCCTTCTCCAAAAGAAGTTCAGTGTCCACTTCCAGCTGCGCCCTGATGTCAGAACTGGAAAGGACAATCGGACACACCCTCTAAGACTCTTTGGCCTAGACACCATTGTCTGCGATGAAATAAACACGGCGTGTTGTTCCAAACCAAAAAGACACATTGAACAGCTCGACTTCCTTGCCTGCAGTTTGATCAGATTGCAGAAATTGCAACACAGTCACTGACCCTTAAATTCCCTGTCTCGCTTGCACTTGGTGTCCGGTCCCAAAACTGCATGCCAACATGTTGTTTGTATATTTATTGGTTTCATCATGTTTCATGTAATAAGCTTGCCCAGGCAGGACTCTGGTTCAAGCAGCCGGACTTTGCTGACAAACCAAGCTTCGTGCCTCTGCATTCTGGAGGGCGGCATGGGAGATGCCTCCTGCCAAGAGTGAGAATCCGTTTGAAGCCAGTGTCATTTGGTTCAAACAAGTTCTGTTTATGCATCAATGACACCTTTTTGTTTGGTGCTCAAGGGATATGGTACTGCCAGTCCTGGCCACGTGCAGATCCTGCCACACTGCTCCCGCCACTGCCAGGAACAGGGGCTGGTGGCCGGCCTAGAGAAAATGTGATCTTTTTGAAAGTGACATGTGTTCAAAGCTCCACCAAAAATCTCAGCTGGACTTTTAGCAATTTACATGTGGCCACAGTTCATACAACCTATTCTCAGGCATATTAATCATGTACAAACATCTCAAGATTTGGGATGCGCCTGTATGAAGATGATGTGCTCTTCATTGGTCTTACCCCACAACGATGTCACTATGAGAGCAACAAACCTATTAGTACCGGTAATTGTAAACCGATGACGAACCAGTCTGTCAGCTATATTGTTGTTTCATACAATCTTTGTGGAGCCTTAACAGTTCAAACAGCAAAGGCAGGCAACACATGAAAACAAACAACCACGTTAAACTATCGAACCATATCTCGTTTCCTCCCTCCAGTCTCACTCATCCTCCTGACCAACGTCTAGTGCACTGTTCCACCTCGCCCACCCACCGTTCCAAGCCTCTGCTGCAATCTATGATAATCTATGCGTAGAAATTAATGATGCATTTGCATCCCTTCGTCCGCTCCATCTATCTTATTCCTCCTTTCCGGTCCTGTCTTCCTCCTTTGAAGTTGTCCAAACAAAGGGCTAAACGGACTCTGGGTTGCATGCACACGCTGTCTTTCCCATGGACAGTGTAAGAGTGCAAGCGGCAGAAGCTCAGGCAACCGAGTGCAAATTGATGGCATGCTGCGGCCGCGCCGCCAGCAGCAGCTTTAGCAGCAATGGCAGCGGCAAAGGGGGCAGCGGGGCAGAAGAAACAAGACTGACCACGTATCACGTCACGCTCACCACCGAAGACAACAAACAGCGTTGACAAGCAGGACCAGGACCAAAGCAAAAATGAAAGAAATATTGATATATATATATATATGTTTTGAAAGCCAGATATACTAATTGTAACTATTATATAAAGTAAATGGAACCACGTGACAATGGCGGCCCAAACATTTGGGACAAATATCCGCCTGGTGTGCCCTGGGACGAAGCCCTTGGCATGGCAACCTGTTGCACAGCTGGGAATTTGTCTAGTCTAGAGGCATTGATGCCTCTTTGGTAAGAAGAACTGGTGCTTGTCCCAACTGTTGCTTGGATTGTGGCTTCACTCCTCAATTCTTCAAAGTATTACCGCTTGGGGCCGTCAACCCAGGCTTAGGATATCGACACTGGCTGGAGAGATGCGGTTTGATCCACAGCAAAATTTGAAAAACAACATACAGTAAATTTTGCATGTCTGCGGAAAGATACGCAAAGCAGTTTGTCAGCCCTTGATCCTGCTGCCTTTAATTGGCGGTTGGCTGCCAGGTCCACCTTGGAATGGAGCACAGCAAGTACCTGGAAGTTTTCTGTTGAAAGGAATTGAAAGGCACCCCTTCTCCTTGTGACTTGAGTTGAAAGTAATTACGGTTCATTCAAAAATCAGTGGCATGCATGAAAGTGCATTCTGTGTGCCATTA